AGCAGAAACTCCTGGGGCATCCTGAGAAGGCCTGGGGAGCCCGAGAGGACTTTCGGGACTGCTGTGTCTATACCGACAGGAGGACCGACCCCAGCATGCTCCCTCCATCCCAGCATTCTGGGCGCCATGCCCTGTCTACCACAGCCCCCATGGTCCAGGCCTACAGTGCATGGCCCTGGAGGTGCCTGCAGAGCCTCCTCCGAGAAGAGCATACTCACAATTCGCTGTTTCCTGGGCTGGCAGTGGAGACCGAGGCTGAGGAGACAGAGCCCTGTCCTCGTCCGTATTTAAGCAGTGGATGCAGAGGAGGCTGTTGGTGAATATTAACCAAGGTCACCCCAGTTATCGGAGGAGCAAACAAGGGCTAAGTCCACCGGCAGAGACTAAGCCACCAGCCCGCCCACCCACGCTGCCTGCTGCTCGTCTGCTCCGGCCGGTGGGGCACGGCCCTCTGCTCCAATCCTAAAGGCAGTCATTGTGCCTGTCTGTAAACCCTGGCTTCCTGAGTCCGAGGAGGGGTGGGTGGCATGAGTCAGGCGTCAGTATCAATGGGCTGGCCCCGTGCTCCTGCTGGGCACTCCGCCATGGCTGCCTCATTAACAGTGGGGTGCACCCTTTACTGAGCCCCCTTGAAATGCCTCGTGCCAAAACCCACTGGCACCTGGGGGTTCCGAAGTGGGGTATGAGCCCATGTGACAGATGGGCAAATGGAGGCCCAGAACCAGGACACTGCTCATTCAGAGTTGCCTGGCCAGCCTTAAATACAAAAGCCCTCAAGTTCCCAGATGGAAAATGAGGCATGACTGAGGCAGACATGGCCACCCTAGGCTGGCCTGGGTAGCCCAGGGGACGGGCTAGGCCCTGGAGAATAAATCTGTGAAGAAGAGCTGTGCTGCCTCAGGGAAGCCGCTTCACCTCTCTGTATCGGGGGCGTTTTCACCTGCATGGCAGGGGTCAAAAGCCCCATTCCCAAGCATGGCTGTCAGGGATGTACAAGCACCTTGGATCAAAGGCCTGGCACACAGTAGGCCTTTTATTTGGGCCTGTATAGCCCGCTGTGTAGCCTGCTCCCCAGGCTGCTCTGTGCAGAGGAGACTCGGTTTCTGTCTAGCCTCAGGCCTGCTTCCGTCCCTGGCTCCCGAAGACACTTGCGACCCCCAGATAACCTGAATTTCCCTCGGGAACGTGACCCCTGCCTTAGGCTGTTGCAGGCCTTTGGGGGCATTGTGGGTGGCTGGGGTTGGGGTGTGCGTGCAGGTACAGGGTTGAGGCCAGTAGGGTCCTATTTACTGAGATCCCTTTAAAAACTACAACCAGGGTAGCATGTGCATGGCCTGGTGAGTATGTGAGGTGAATCCCCCATGGCCAACTGTGTGGCTTGAGGCCCAGACCTGGCAGGTAGCTTGAAAACACATGCTGGGTGCGCGTGCATGCCCAAAATGCCAAAAAGGGAGAGAACTAAAGGAGAAGGGATTGCATTGTGACCATTCCCCATGGGGGATGCTTTCTTATAGCCCGCTGTGTAGCCTGCTCCCCAGGCTGCTCTGTGCAGAGGAGACTCGGTTTCTGTCTAGCCTCAGGCCTGCTTCCGTCCCTGGCTCCCGAAGACACTTGCGACCCCCAGATAACCTGAATTTCCCTCGGGAACGTGACCCCTGCCTTAGGCTGTTGCAGGCCTTTGGGGGCATTGTGGGTGGCTGGGGTTGGGATGTGCGTGCAGGTACAGGGTTGAGGCCAGTAGGGTCCTATTTACTGAGATCCCTTTAAAAACTACAACCAGGGTAGCATGTGCATGGCCTGGTGAGTATGTGAGGTGAATCCCCCATGGCCAACTGTGTGGCTTGAGGCCCAGACCTGGCAGGTAGCTTGAAAACACATGCTGGGTGCGCGTGCATGCCCAAAATGCCAAAAAGGGAGAGAACTAAAGGAGAAGGGATTGCATTGTGACCATTCCCCATGGGGGATGCTTTCTCACTTTCCCTCTGTCTCTCTTTGTCTCTCTCCAGGGGGAGCACACGAACCCTATGGCAAATTAAAAACAAGAAAAAGAAAAAATAAAACACCGTGGTCAGATCACGCCACCTCTGGGAAGCCCCCCAACCCTGCCTGGCAGCTAATGTGTGCTCGGTGGGCACTTGCGAATGAATGAATGAGTTGCCCTTTCTCACATCTGCCAGTCCCATTTGCCCCCGCCTTGGGGTTCCACCAGGTGAGCGACCCATGCGGGCTCAGACCAGGGACCCCACTGGCTGTTTAACCTCTCCGTGCCTCAGTTTCCCCACGTGTACATTGCAGGCCTTGCGAGTCCATACCTTGCTGGGTGCTGTGCAGATTAAATGTGATGTATAAGGTAAGGTCAGAGCCCCTTTATGACGCTGCCCCTCACCCCAGTCAGAGGTCTCCCTGGGGTGGTGTGCATTTCAGGAGCATCCTTCCAGGCATCGCTCCCTCGGTGCCCTCCTTAGTACTGTGAAGGGAGCAGGTTCACCCCTCCTTACAGGAATGGACGCTGTGCTCAGGCTCCCCGCCCCGCCCGCTCTCAGCATCTGCAGCACCATCATCTGGCTTCAGGGCCTCTGTCCTCTGAGCTGGCTGATGGGACACTCCCCCAGGACTCCACAGGCTCGCAGTTGGGGGAGCTGGGCTGTGGGCAGGTGAGGCCTGTCCTCTACACTCCCTGGGCTTTCCTCCGCTCTCTGGGCCTCGTTTCCCTGTCTCTACCTGCACTATCCTGAAGCCCTCTGCTCCTCCCCTCTGTCACACCGGGTGGGCAGAGGCAGGTGCCCCTCCCTGTGGACCATGGCACTCCCCAAGTTCTGCACCCTCAGGAGGAGAGTGGCCTAGGGGCTGGTGGGTGTCTACCTCAAATTCCCGGTGCTGTCAGGTGACCACGCCTTCTGTGGTGTCCCATTCCCTCCTTTTCCGAAGCTGAGGACTCCAGGTGCTGAGGGCCTCGTGCCCCTGAGGGCAAGGCCCAGTTTCTTCCTGCTCTCTTGAGAGAAATTGCTCAAGTAACTAGTGGGAGTGGAGGCAATAGGTCCAGAAGGGGCGGGGATCTGGGGCAGGAAGGGGCCTTGACTGCTGCCAGGTGGGTGTCAGCAGGCACTTTGCAGCAGGGCTGTCCTGTGTGTCACCTACTCTCTCTGCCATTCCGGGGCTGTGTGACCCAGACAAGTCATGCCTTTCCTCTGAACCTCTGTATGAGGATCAGTCATATCTGCTCGTAGGATTGCTAGAAATGACAGGTGTCACCTAGCTGGCACAAAGCCTGGTGCCAGGATCGTGGCAGGTTTCCAGGGCCAGCTGCAGAAGGAAGAGGACTGAGCCAGCTCTGAAATGCCCAGCCAGGGTGGGGGCGGGTGTGAGGCGGGAAGGGTCTGTGTGAATGGGGAGGGGTGGCTGGCAGGCCCTGGCTGGGTGCAGAAGCTGTGGGGAAGGAGGGGTGCTCAGGGCTTGGGACCCGCCCTTGCTGTCCTCAGGAAGAAGGGCTGGTGTGACGTGGAGAGTGAGCAAAGGCAGGGCTGCGGTGGCCCTGGTGGCCATTCCCTCCAGGGCTGTGCCCCTGGAGCCCCTGGCCATGGTGGGCAAAGTCTTGTTGGCTTGGTTGCTCCTGAAATGTCCCTTGTAGCACTTGGGCGGATTCCCTGGATGCGAATGCATTGTCGGAAGATCCTGTGGGCTGGTTGGAAATAAGGAGCTCCTGCAGAGACCCTGCCCCTCCACAGGGCCTGCCTCCAGCTGGGAGCCTCATCGTGGAAGTTGGAAGGAAGCGTGAGCTGAGGCGGGGGTCTGCAGCAAGGAAGGGAGTGAGGGGGCGCGTGGGGCGTGCGAGGGACCCTGGGCCAAGTAGCTCGAGGACTGGTCAGGAGAAGGTGGACTTCTTACTCAGCTCATTGTCAGAGTCCCGGGATGGTGCGGGAAGCAGCCTATACTGCCCACCCCCTGTCCTACACCTGCGTACCACACCACAGCTCTCTCAGGTGCCCCCACTCTCCCGGCCACTGACTCGCTTTTAAGGAGAGCAGTGTAGGTCAGTGGATAAGGCATGCGTCAGAGCGAAACAGCCAAGCCTTCATCCACCACTCTCTGTGAGATTTCAGACAGGTCACGTGACCTCTCTGCCTCAGTTTCCCCGTCTGTGGGGGAGGGGGAGATTCGCGATTGCGAAGCACAAATGAGATGGTAACACGTGAGCACAAGACGGGCTCCGAGCCGTGTCAGCCACCATGTGACCCGCGGGCGTGGCCAGGGCCTGGAAAGCCTTTTGGACTGACCGGGTCTGAGCAGAGCAGCCTGCCACCTTCGGCCCAGGCCTGGGGAGCAGCACCCTTCGACCAGCGACACCTCCTCAGAGTCAAGCTTTCATTGTCTGATGGCTGTGCTTGTTTGGCTTCCTGAAGGCGCAGGGCCAGACGCATGTGGCAGTTCTCTGAGTCCTTGTGATGTGCAGAGGATGGGATGGGGAGGGAGTGTCTCAGAGCCTCAGTTCTGTTGTGTAAAATGGGAACAAGAATCCCTCCCTCACATCGTGAAGCTTGAATGAGATGATCCTCGTGGGGCGCTAACAGGGCCTGTGTCCGTCCTCTCGCAGCGCCTGTCCTTGGTGCAGTGAGTCGGCTGTTCCAGGGGTCATCTTCTGGGGGACGGACTGAAAGTGTGCCGTGAGTGCTTCCTCTGGGCATCTTGCAATACCCTGGTGGACTCTTCCCTCCTTTGCATAAGCTGTAGGCCACTTCCTGTTTCGGGAGGATTTCAGCATCTTCTGGAACTATCTGGCTTACTTGCAGCTTCCTGTTTTCACTCCTCATCCTCTCTCAGAGAGAAATGAGGCAAATTTACACTTGGCAAGGAGCAACTTGTTAGTCAAAGAAGTGAACGATGCGTCTTGAGCTTCGTCTTCTCTTTGTTGAAATTAAACTAGTGTTTTATTACCACTCGCCTTTTCTACAAGTTAACTTGACACTTTCGAAGTTACGAACTGTGATGGCCACTATAGACCTGAGGCTTTTGAGACTCCACCTGTCCCTACTGTATAGCCACGTGCCACATAAGGACATCTTGGTCAGTGCTAGACACGTGACAATGGTCCCATGAGATCATGATAGAGCTGAAAAATGTCTGTGGCTTCAAACCCGTGGGGTGTCACAGTGAGCCATGTGGTGTGTCAGTGGTGGTGTTGGGATAAGCAAGCTGGTTGTATACAAGCAGAGCACTGGACTGGCAGGTGGCATAGTGGTTAAGACATTGACTCCCACATGGATGACCACTGTTCAAATCCTAGACCCAGTGGGTTGAAAATAATGCTGGCATATGTGTGTGCATGTCCAAA